AGGACAAGTACCTTGATCGCAGGCTCTCAGCCTAGTTGGGGTGTGTGTATGAGACAACCAATTGATGTGTCTCTGTCACATCAATGTTTCTCTCTCTCTCTCTCTCTCTCTCTCTCTCTCTCTCTCTCTCCCACTTTTTTCTACTCTCTCTAAAAATTGGTGGAAAAATGTCCTTGCATGATGATTAAAAAAATTTTTTTTTATTTGAATTGTGTTAAAGATCAAGTTGGAAAAAGTTGATACCTTGACAATATTGAGTCTTCCTATCCATGAACATGGGATTGTTCTCCATTGCATTGTTTTTAATTATTTTATTTCATTCATCAGAGTTTTGTAGTTTTCCTCAAATAGATCTTATACATATTTTGTTAGGTTTATATCTAAGCATTTTCTCTTTTTTGTGTGTGTTCTAATGTAAATAATATTGTGTTTTTTATTTTAAATTTAATTTGTTCATGCTGGCATATAAGAAAGTGATTGACTTTTGTATATTAACCTTGTATTCTGCAGCCTTGCTATATTTGCTTATTAGTTGCAGGAGTTTTTTTTGTTTATTCTTTTGAAATTTCTATATAGAGGATCATATCATCTGTTAACAGAGTTTTATGTCTTCTTTCCCAATTTGTGTATCTTTTATTTCCTTTTCGTCCCTATTGTATTAGCTACAAATTCCAGTATAATGTTGAAAATAGTGGTGGAAGGGAACATCCTTGCTTTGTACCTGATCTTAGTAGGAAAGCTTCTTGTTTCTCACCATTAAGTATGATGTTAGATGTGGGGTTGTTTTTTGTTTTTTTGTGGGGTTTTTTTTGAAGATAGACTATTAAGTTGAGAAAATTTTCCACTATTCCTAGTTTACTGAGAGTCTTTATCATGAATGGGTGTTGGATTTTGTCAATTGTTTTTTCTGTGATTTTCTTTTTTAGTCTGTTGATGTGATAGGTTACATCAATTCATTTTCTAATATTGAATCACTTTGTACACCTGGGATAAATTCTTTTTATACTTCTAGGGATTTGGTTTGCTGATACCTTTTTTGATGAATTTTCATGTATGTTCATGAATGAAAGCTATTGCTCAGTAGTTTTGTTTCCTCATAATGTCTTTGTCTTGGTTTGGCATTAGCTGGTCTACAGAATGAATTAGAAATTATTTCTTTTTTTCTGTATCCTAAAAAATTCATAGAGAATTAGCATATTTTTTTCTTAAATGTTCAGTGGAATTTACCAGTAAATTAATCTGGACCTGGTGCTTTCTTTTTTGAAAGATTATTAATGATTCAATTTGTTCAATAGTATAGGCCTATCAGACGGTCTGTTTCCTCTTGTGTGAATTTTGGCATATTGTGTCTTTCAAGGAATTGGTTAATTTCATCTAGGTTATCAAATTTTTAGCATAGAGTGGTTCCTAGTATTCCTTTATTATGTATTTAATGTCCATGGGATCTGTAGTGATGTCCACTCTTTCATTTCTGAGTTAGCAATCTCTGTCCTCTCCCTTTTTTCTTAGTCTGCCTAGAGCCTTATCAATTTTATAGACTTTTTTCCAAAGAACCAGCTTTTTATTTCACTGATTTTCCTCTATTGATTTTCTATTTCTGATTTTATTGCTTTCTCTTCTGATTATTACTTCTTTTCTTTTGCTTACTTTGGGTTTAACTTTATCTTTGTAGTGTCCTGAGATGTTTTATGTTGAAACGCAACAAACAAACAAATATTTTACTTAATTCTGTACACTGAAGACCTAGAAACAATGACCAATTTTGTAGCTCTGAGCATCCCTAGTGTCCACATTGTGGTCACTACTATGAATTCTTCCTAAAAGGAGTCAAGGATCCTTGGAGAAATACATGCCTCCAGGTCCAGAGTAGGAAAAGTCCAAAGTAAGCCTGGATTTCTTATTACATTGAGAAAGCAAAGAAGCTATTAGTGACTACGAGGTCTGTAAACAGATTCAAAAAGCAACCTGAATGGGCTTCCATTGGGGAAGTGGGGGCAGAAGGAGAAAATCATGCACTCAGCTGGCCTTCCTGTAACTATAACTCAGGGTAAGCAATTACTTCATGGTTGGCAGCTTCTTTTTCTTTTCTTTTTTTAGGGGGAAAACTTCTTTTTATAGATGTGTCCCTACTAATAAATAAAGAAGGTTTTTTTAGAATTAGAATATGGCTATTTTGCAATTTTTAATTAATGAATATATTTGGAAAATGATCATCAATAGCTAAGATCAGATATTATATATAACTTCTCAGGATATACACAACACCACGTCTGAAGTTGTCTGATAATACACTTAGACCTAGTAATTAATACACAGGAAATACAAGGGATACCACAAGAATGCAATCAGCACAATCCAGACAGTGGGAAATTCTATAAGAAAAGTACCTTGTTTTTTGAGCAAACAAATATTTAGAGAGAGACAGAGAGACACAGAGAGAGATGTAATCTATAGAATTAAGAGACTTAATAGACTTGACAAATAATTGCAATATATGGAAGTATTTTTATCTTGATTCAAATTAACAAAATGTATAAAACACAAAAATTTAGTCACATAAGATGATAACCAGAGAAATGTGAATACTAACTGGATATTTGATTATTACATTATTGTTCATTTTTTAGATTTATGATCATGATAGTTTGGTTACTGTTGGGGTTTCTCTGTGTGTTTCTGTTTTTAAGAACCCTGCACATTTCCCATTGCCAAAAAAATTGCAAGTATTCTAAATAACTTCCCTCCTGTGGCAAGCTAATGAAATGCCTACTTTTCTTAAACCGTATATAGGAACACTGCTTCTAGAAAGCTTTCTCCAGCTAACACCATCACTTTAAGCATTTAGTACAATCTTATCTTCATCATAAACCTCATAGTTACAACATATAACTGTGGCTCCTGTCCTTTGCAAAAACAAATAAACAAACAAAAAAAACCAGAAACCTTAGATCTAGGAAATTCCTAGGGGTCAAAAAAAGCAATTTTTTTTCATGTATGGAACCCACATCTCTTGGCCTTGCCCCATTTTCACCTTCTGAATATCCCATCTCCGCTATCAGACTCAGAAAGGCTAACACCAAAAACCAAAGATTTAACTCTGAGATGTCTGTGAGCAATGGATTGTTGTGGTGTCACCTTGCAAATAATGACCAGAGAAAAATCCACAATATCTGAGGGTAGAACAAATTGCTAATTGGAATATAAGAAAATCAGTTTACATATTGAAATAGGGTGGTTCTAAAGAGGAAGAAAGTTAGAACAGGTGTTGAGAAACCAAATTTAGATGAGTAACAAGACTGGAATCCAGGTTAAAGATAGAGTCAAGAGAAACAGATGGAACAGGCGTTGAGCAGTAAGCACTGTTGAATAACCAGAACAGGAATAGTGTCAGAACTAGAACCAAGAAAAATACAGAAACCAATTCACTGAAGAAGCCATGGACATCAGAGTCTCACAGGCTTGTTATGAAAAAGAAAACCCTTCCCTGGAGGCACAGGGTAATTTTTGAAGTATTAGCCAAAAGCTTCACTTGCCTTAAAAGAACTTTGTTTCTGGGTAGTCAGAAAATTATACATTGTTTACTGCACACAATTACACACTATTCATTATACACATTGGCTGTGGGAAAACTTAATAGCACCATATTATAGACTTTAGGTGAGGATTAAATAAAATTAAGTACTTAAAGCACTTAGCACAGAGCTCCTTAAAAGTTAGCTCTTTATTATATAGGATAATAACTTATAAGATGGGAAGTAGCATAGCACAGTGAAACAAACAGGAGAGCCTTTGATTTCACCTAGGGCTGAATTTGAATTGAATATATGTCAGACTCTGCTAATTACCCTCCAATAACAATTTCTCTCTTTTTCATTTTTGTAATATAACCCCTGAGTTTTAGCTTAGCACATGGCATTACCACTAGAAATTACTCCTTGAAGATGAGTGTGGTCCTATGATGGGCATTGGGAAATGAGCAGAAGTGGCATATATGTAATTTCTGGGTTAAGTTGTAAAAAAAAAAGAAGAAGAAGAAGAAGAAGCTGGCTTACTTCCACTTCTTTCTTCTCTCCTGCAAGCTTCAAAGAAGGCTAGAGGGTGCTGAGCCAGCCAGCTTTAAGCCTGTGGATGAAGACCATACTTACCTACTGGAGATTGTCTGCCCAAGTCTGTATTGTTCCATGGAAAAAAAATAGCCTCTATCTTGAATCCATTTTGACCAAGCAGGCGAAGACTTGGGCTTAACCTTGACTAAGTACCTACATGACCTAAATCTCTGAGGTAAATTTGTATAAAAGGCTCTTTCTAGATATTTTTAGGTTCCTACACTGGGTTCCCATTAATCTAGGCCTGCTCTGAGCAATCTTTCATTTTTTATTTATTCTTTCTTTCAACATTAATGAAGTATGCCAGGCACTGTGCACAATAGTATAACATATCTGTAGTCACCATTCAATGCATCCATCAACACCATGGGATGCAGAATGAAGTAAGCAGTGTCCTGATAGTCAAGCAGAGCAAAGTGATGCTTGTTGAGGTCCTGCTGCTTGTGGATAAACCCCAAAACCATGTGATTTGGCTCATGGCTATTGAGCCTCAAGAAGTGATCAGGTTTCAGATTTATTAGAGGGGGACAATAAGAAAAAAGTGGGTCACTAGTCACTGGCTCAGTATTTGAAGTGCAGAGTGGGGTCTGTGCAAAGAGTATGTGTTTGTGACTAAAACCATCAAGCCTTGGCTATTTTAGATCCCAGGGTAAGACTGAATGTGCCAGTACAAGATGAATGAGTCAAGCTCATCAAGAGCCAGCAAGGCCAAATAAGGGTATGTGTGGGAGTCCGGAATTACATCTTTCATCAATATACTTTTCCATGTGAAAAAGGCACATACTTTCCCAGCCCATTTATTGTTTAAGATTGAATTTTGGCCGATTTGAGGGATTGACAATGTTATTATTACATTTTTGCTGAAAATAATTTAAAATTGTATATTGTTTTTAGGTCAGATCATATGAAATTGCTGCTTTGTGGATCAACCATGGAGTTAAAGGTCCACACAACTGGACTGAAGGCCAGGAAGGCTTCTTTCAGAAATCTCAGTGTGCGAGGATTGCAGGTAAGTCACCACCAAAGGACTGCAGCATCAAAGTGGCTGAAACTCGGGAAGATGTCAAAATGCCAAAGGTAAAACCTTACCTGTACATCTGCCTGAAGTCTGTCTAGAGCTAAATTATACAGTTTTTCTTCTCTCCTTACAAATCTCATGCAAGTGCCTCTCAATGGTAGATTCTAATTGGAATCCTGCTGGCAAGGGAATCTGTGGAAATTGGTTTCTAGGTTTTGCCCCCTGTGATGCAGTGGTGAACCTAGAAGAGCTGTAGCCTATGTTAATATTATTTTTATGAGACTATGGACAGCATTTCCATCGTGGAATAAATAAGAGTTCAAAGCAGGAAGAGACAGTAGAGGAGGAGTGTGTCAATTCATACATCAGACTCTTACTCTCAAGTGGCCCTTTCTCTTTGCTCCCTCTGCTTCTCAGCTCCCCCTCTATTGTGGATAAGCAGAGATGCGAACACTCATACTCCAGGTGTATGTGTGTACTTCCTCTAAGATCCACAAAAGAAAGTCCTTTAGAGTTAGTTTTCTGTTAATCTTTCTTCATTCAAGGACTGAAAGTCACATCTATAATTTTTAAATTGGGGGAGATGGAATTGTTTGAAAATATACTACACATTAACCAGGAATGAGAGATATCTGGGATTCTATGCTATGACATTAAATGTATGCTTTATTCATTAATGCTCATTCAAAATATAAATTGATGTGTTATTGTTAATGAGAATATAATTTTTTGTTTGGTAAAGATGCCCTGAGATACACTACTTCTGCTTTTCAGATTGATTTTTTTAAGAAACCAGTGGCATATCTAAGCCATGGGGCTTTCACTGTAATTACATTTGATTCCTGGACATTATATTAATGCTGAACTATTAGTTTAGTAATGGCCACTGATGTACTTTTCATTTGTATTTTCATAATATCATCTATCTATGGAAGGCACCTAATTTGTCATAATGGAAAGTTGGTGTTTTTAAGATATACATTTAAAGGGTAATTCTTTATGGTTTGACCACAGCAGCTCATGTTGGGAGATTTTATCATTTTTTTCAATATGTCAATGTTAATTCATTTTGCAATCTGTTTAAACCTGGTTTGGTGGCCAGTCGTTAAAGCTGGAATCGTCAAATGCTTCGCACATTGTCCTTTAGACATAAATTTAAGGGCAATTATCTGTGAAAACAGTTTCGTGTTTCTTAGAATTATAAAATTATTTATTTTGAATAACTTTTAAGATTTAAAAAGAAAAAAGAGATGAGTAAAATTACTTAGGAGAAATACCAATGCATCTTTCTTCAAATTACTTTTTTTTTTTACTTTTTTCATGGATCTAAATATTCAGACTTATTGTAGAAAATATATTTTAAAATGAAAATTCAAACCACGTGTAATTCTACTACCTAGAAACACCACCATTTAAAAAGATATATTTTCTCCCTGGTCAGATGGCTTAGTTGGTGGGAGCATGGTCCCATACACCAAAAAGGTTGCAGATTCAATTCCCACTCAAGGCACATACCTAGGTTGTGGATCCGATCCCTGGTCAGGGGATATATACGGGGCAACCGATCGATGTTTCTGTCACATTGATGTTTTTCTCTCTCTCCCTTCTTCTCTCTAAAATCAATAAAAACACATCCTTGGGCAAAGATTAGAAAAATTAATCAGTCAATTGATAGATATCTCCTTTCTTCTTTTTAAAAATCTGCATGTGGTAATAGATATGCGTGTTGGGGTGTACACAGATGAATAAGGATGTACTAGTATGTTTTCTGTAAGAATTCAAATTAGAAACATGCTATCTTTTATCTACCATTTAATAGAAAACTTCATCAGCACTTAATGTTGGAAAGTAAAATTTGAGGGCAGATTGATTTTTACTGGTTTGTAGATAACCTGAAAGTTTTAGAGATCTAGAATTTAGTTGATATGGATGGATTACCTCAATATATTTTTAAATGTTAAACCAGCCTTGCATCCTCCGGCGGGGGGGGGGAATCAATTTGGTCATGACATGTAATACTTTTTAGATATTTTAGAATTCTATTTGCTAATATGTTAGAGATTTTTTATGTCTATATTTATGAGGGATATTGGTCTATAGTTTTGCTTTGTTTAGTATTTGTACTGCGTTAATGTGATTTGTTATGAGGTTAATACTGGCCTCGTAAAACAAATTGGAAATGTTCCGTACTCTTCTGTATTCTGAAAGAGGTCTGTGTAGAATTCATGTTAATTTTTCTTTAAACACTTAATAGAATTCTCCAGTGAAACCATTTTGTCCTGGAGATATCTTTTTCAGGAACTTTCAAATTATGCATTCAATTTCTTTAATGGTTATATGGCTATTCAGATTATTTCATCTTGGTTGAATTTCGGCAGTTCATGGTTTTGAAATTGGTCCAGTTCTTTTAGGTTGTTGAATTAAGGAGCATAAAATTGTTCATAATATTCCATTATTATCTTTTTAGTGGCTGCAGGAGTCTATAGTGATTTTTTTGAAATCGGGTTAATTTTACAAAAATAAAATGCACAGACCTGAACAGCATAGTTTGATGAGTTTTGACAATTTATACACCCATATAGCCATTGCTGAAATCAAACTGAGGAATATTTCCACCACTCTGAAAAGTTCCCTCCCCTCCTTGTCAGCCAATAAACAGCACTCCTGAGGAGACCATTCTAGAACAGGGGTTGGCCAGTTAGAGCTGGCTGGTTTATGTAAACCCATTTTTTAATGTACCTGTCCCATGCCCCAAGGGTCAAGCTGAGTGGCTGAGACGAGACATTATGACCCTGCCCTGGGAAAGTCAGTCTTTTCTGGATGTGTAAGTGTTCCTGCTGAGACCCAGCCTCCTGAGCAATGGAAATTGACATGCCATAAAGATAGAGATTGCCTCCTTGTGTCCCACAGAAACATTTACTCTTCTCCTTGGAAGGGTCTATATTTACATTTCAAAGAAGGTTGAAACTGGGTGCCATTGGTTTTCATTTCAAAGCACTGTAAAATGGGAACTTTCCCATTGTCCTCCCAATAAAGACTTATTTACATTAGGGAGATAAGATGGATGTCCTTCTCTCAGGAGGTGTGAAGGACAGATGGATAGCAGTTCCAGCCATTGGTTTTCAGTTCAAAGCACTGTAAAATAGGAACCTTCCCATTAAAGACTTATTTACATTAGGGAGATAAGACTGATGTCCTCTCAGGAGGTGTGAAGGACAGATGGATAGCAGTTCCCTTATAAACTCCCAGATTCGTAATTCTGGGGTTCTCCGGTGGTACAAAAACTTCCTTTTTGTACTTCAGGCCTAAACTGTTGTTTCTCATTACATCAGCCTGAAGGGAGAAAACGGGGAGTGGGACCTTTACAGTGATTACATGTAATAATAGTCTGCCTGTGATCCAGAAACTTCTTGTTTGCTTTCAAGACAACATAAATGAATATAGATACTGAAAATGTATTATCACAAAGCCTAAAATATTTATTATCTGGCCCTTTGCAGAAAAAGTTGGCCAACACCAGTTCTAGAATAGTATTACTGTTCTTGAACTATAATACATAGAATCGTAAGTTTATACTCTGTCTGGTTTCTTTTGTTCAACATAATGCTTTACAGATATATCCATATTGTGTATATCTAGGGTTCTTTTCATCTGTAAGTAAATTCCATTATGTGACTATTTTACAATTTGGTTATGAAACCAGACAACGAATGGATCTGGGCTGCCTGTCACTACTTGAGCCAATTAAGCAGAGACAGGGTTGAATCATATATGAGCATTTTTATTTTCCAATATTGCCAGCAGCATGGGAGAGCAGCAGGTCATCTACAAAAATCTGCTCTAACCCCCACCCCCATTAGCCAGCTGCTTATATTGAGTAGAAAGACAAAGATTACATGGAGAAGTAGGCAAAAGGAGTAAGAATGGGTATGCAAAAGGAATAAAAATAAGTAAAATGGTTACAGATTACAGGCAATTCAGGCTGGGGTTGCAAAAAGGGGATGCCTAAGGACTCCATTGTTTGGGCAACAAGGTTGTTAATCTTTCCATGATGATAGGCAGTTCTGGGATAGGGAAAATGAACCACATTTTGAGGTTAACTCCCAGGTCTGTTAAACTCCCAGTCAGATCAGAATGTGTTTTCTTTAATCAGAACAAAACAATCTCGGGTAACAGAGCATGATTACTATTTCTTATAACTATAGCTAGTCCCCACTATTCTATTTTTCCCACCCCAACAGTTATTCATATTCTGTTGATGAACATTTGAGCTATTTTCAGTTTTCCTTTATTGGAAACAAAGTTATTATGAGCATTCTAGTACAATTCTTTGAAGACATATGCTTTCATTTTCCTTGGGTATAATTTCTGAGTCATAGGAAAGATATATGTTTAACTTTATTTTTAAAAAAATCTCATTTGCCAAAAGTGGTTGCATCATTACACATTGCCACTGTCAGTGTATTAGCGTTCCAGTTGATCCAAACCATTAGCAGTACTTACTATGATCTTTTTAATTTAATCCATCCTGTGGGTGAGAAGTGGTACCTTCTTGTGGTTTTGTTGCTGGGAAGGGGACCTGGCCCTTGGTGGGTCTGCCTAGAGCCAGCCAGTAGTGTGTGGGTTCTTAACTTCGTGCAGGAAAATTTTCACAACATGAGTCCAGGTGAATTTTAGAGGATGTTTATTAAAACTGGGGACAGTGAAATAAGAAAGGGCTGGGACATGTGCCTAGGCTGGTCTGCTCTGACTCACTAAGAAGTCCAAGAAAAGGGACCTTGGGGACAGATTCAGAGGGTTTGTCTGGAACAGACTGCTGTGTGGGGTCCCTTAAAGGTTTAGGCGATGCTTGCCTGTGGAGGAAGAAGTTGGGGGGTGTGGGAGAGGAGAGGCACGGTGTGCTCCTGGGAGAGAGCACATGCTGGACTTTCCTTTTGAGGGGTTTTAAAGGCTGGGGGGTTTTAGACCTAGCTGGTTTAGCTCAGTGGATAGAGCATCAGCGTGCAGGCCAAAGGGTCTGAGGTTGGACTCCAGTCAAGGACATCACCTCGGTTGCAGGCTCAATCTCCAGCCTTAGTTAGGGGTGCATGGGGGAGGC